GGGGGGGGGGGGGGGGGGGGGGGCATGGTCCTCCCCCCCAGCTCCACTTATCATCCGTCCCTCCTCATCAAAGACAAGTCACACATTCTAAATGCCACAAAAAATGGCTATAGTAAAAGCCTATCTATTATACATTAAGGTGGAGAAATTGAAAACTTTAGCCCCCACAATGTGGAGGACAATGGACCATTTTAAGTGGCAGAACCACCCTGCCGATCTTATAACAGTATTAGGCAAACTTCTAAGAATGAGAACCCAAAATGTTACATTACTCACATAGGACGTTTCATGATTGGAGAAATGTCAATATGATCCAACCTTGCGAACGATCAAGAGTTGACAACAAACCTCATGGCTGCCAAAAAGTTCAAAACATATATGATTGATGATGCCTGTGCTCAAGTATTCCAACATAAAGAAAAACTGTTCACTTATAGGGAAAAATGAAAGAAAAGAACAATGGAAATCTGAAGTCCTCATGGATATTGTGTTGCTTATTATAGAGCATAGATTGCATTTTCAAGTGCTCCACAACTAAATAAGATACCCACAAGAAGTTTTATAGTGATAAATCATGCTTTCTATACTCAAGGCCAACTCGTGAAGCAAGCGAGATTTAGCCTTATAGACAGAAGACATTGATACTCATAGCAGAAATGCTAAAATACATGAAATGCACAACTTTATTCCCATAGAACGTCTGTCATTTTGGGCTGCTTCATGCACAAGTAAAATAGAACAGAGAGAAAAGGAAGTTATTTAAATATGCCTCAGACATGTATCTTTTTGTGATACTTCATATGCACAGTGTGCTTAGTTAAAGAGACTTAAAATGAAGACTTAAGCAGACTTGAATGTGAGTAACTCTTAACTCCACAAGCACCTTTTGGACAAGCTTACAGATTGGGGAGCCAGAAGGGGAGGATTAAAGGGCAAATCTTCCACAGCAAAGATGACATCGTGGATGTCTCAAATTTTACAGCAGATATTGGAATAAATGATCATGCAAAGACCCTCTAGCATCCAGCTTATTTAGTACTCTCAACTAACCTCCTTTGTCCATAGCTCAAGTGGCTTCAGTGGCAATTTTGATGGAGTGCAGAGAATCCTGCACAAAGCACAGGATAGTGAAGAATATTTTACAATTCTCCTGGTTTACTTTGTAGAAATTCTGGATTATCTAAAGAGCATTCAGGGAAATCAGATAAAAAGAACTTAGTATACAAGGTCAAAGAGATTCTCCAAAAAGGCCACCACAAATATAAGAAAAAAAAAAAAAAAAGCTTCTTCCAAAGTATCATTATGAATTTTTCACTTGAAATGACTAAGCAAGAATTTCATATTCATCTTGCCTTTCCCATATGACCAACCGTAGTGAGGCCATCAGTCAAATGCGTGCAATGTATGAAAGTATCAGAATACTTATTGAAGATTGATAAGAATTATTATCAGAACTTCAGAAGAGTTCCTTGCTAACTGTCAGCAGTCAGCGGACAAAGTGATAGCATGAAAGGAACACTTCCATCACTTAAATGGAAAAATGGGAAGCTAATAACACAAACTTACTAAATAGTAATTCAAAGGTAAGCTGAACATTTTGAGAGCTCTCACAAAAACAGGCATTGGCTTAGAGTTAGAGAAGGTAATAACACAAGGTGACAAGCTAGGCCAGGTCTACTGATTATAAACCATTAGGTCTCCTCTACGTTTAGAAAGAAATTACATGGTCAATCCCCACTCCAATTTCAGCCTTCCATATGTCAAAAAAATGGAAATTCTATGTTCATGCCTAAGAAGGTACTTGATCAGGGAAAATGTAAGCAACTATATCACTGTAAAAATGGATTCCTAATTACTAAAAGCCTGTATTTTTCTAATCCAAACAAAGTCCTTTAGCTGGATAAAAGGGAAGTCCGAAAGCTCAGTATTCTCATTTAGTGACTGGTGCTTGTTCCCTGAGCTCTGTTACTTTGAGTCCTAACTCTCGTATCAGATTTTGCTCAACAAACTTTGAGTTCCATGTTCTAAAGATTTGAAGTGTAAGGGTTTGGAGAGCCCCTTGTACTCCAATTAACAAATTTTGCTTCATTCAAAAAAAAAAAACCTAAAAGCCTGTATTTTGTATCTGAGAATCACAAATATGATATATTGGAACGTGAAAAAAAACTAACAAAGCAAATGCCATAGAGTAAACAGAGAAGTAGACATAAAATTTACAAAGTTTAACTTCCATTGGATCTGCCTATAACCTGTAGTGCTTATCCATTTAGAGGCCAATAAGATTACCAAGATTCAGTGAGTAGATTACCAAGATTCAGTGAGTTAATTACCAGAGAAGTGACACAGACCAAGTTATGTTTTCTTACATTGCGTTGTTGCCACAGACATCCAAGACGTGATGGCATGCTAAAATTACTTGATATTGGTAGACTAATGCATACATCCTAGACGATAATTCCTTTATGTGAACTGGTGAGGTTTGTCAGCAAGGAATATGTACATTATGTTTGTTTTTAAAAGTTAATAATCAATAAACATTTTTCCAGAAGATAACAGCCAAAGTTTACAAAATTTGACAATTCTTCTTTGACAATTCATACTAAAGAAAATTAAAGGTTCAGTAAGCGCCAAATGGAGTTAGGCTCAAAAAATAACTTGTTTGTAATCTTGCTGGAAAGCTAGGTGGGTATTGGAGTGTTCTTAGGTAGGCAGGGGACAAAGACGAGGACAGGTGCAACAGTTGCAGCAGATTCCAAAGCCATTCATTTTGGTTAATCTTGTCCCAAGAACAAAACCCAAAATGAATTTTCTACATTCCTAATCCTAAGTACTATTTCTTTCTTGACCACTAAAATAGATGAAAATCAGTTATGACTTGGGACATGCGCATGCGGTTTCCAGCATTCGTCCAGAAAATTTATAAATTTTTCTTTCTTGGATAGTTGGATTGGAGGGCTAGAAAATCAACTCCATTTTTTCGCCCCACGCAATTTGCAGCTCCTTCTATAAGTTTTTCTTCAAAAGCATACACAGACTTTTTTTCTTTTCTTACAAAGTAGCACAAGATACCAAGAAAACCCCATAACAGCTTCTGGGAACTGTAATTCTTGGTTGCAGAAAGCTCCGAAGGTAATTCAACTCAAAAATGCTTTAGAAGTTTGCTTGACACTTAAAATCATAGTTGACATAATTTCCATGTGTAGAATAATGTTGCAGAAGATATTCACCTTTCAAAAAAACCTCATAACTTTGGATTAAAGCACAAGGAAGATGATTACCAACATTAACACACTACGGTTAATGCAGAGACATGTATAAATCAAGCTCAAAGGATCTAATTTTTCTTTTGTACATCTGGTAAGTGGGCTCTATACAGTAGAAAAAATCTTCTCCATTCTCAAATCCTTCCGTACCTGTCTCAAGGTTCTAACTTTTCAATTTAAACACCCTTGAGGCCTCAATGAAATTACAAATCAAGAAAGGATTAGCCAAGTAAGAGAATTCTAACTGGCGGTGCCGCCCAACCCTTTGGAAGGCAAGTGTCATGAATATAATATGGTGTTTCTGTCAGCGACATTGGTCCCCTCCATTCATTAAGTCTAGGGCTAGAACCCAAAAAATAACAAAAAGAAAAGCAAGGATGAACTAAAATCAAAGTTCCTTTTGTGCTTCTATGGGAAAAAGAAAGTTTTGTTAGACTTTAAGAGAGAATGAGAAAGGAATGTTTGTCTGATGTGCAAAATACTGTTGCTTTTCCCCCATTTAGAGCAGTTAAAGCCAATGATTCATGCTTGCTTAAACATCATTGCCTTGCCCCACAAATCTACGAAGTGCATTTTGAATGGTTGGAGTGTTATTTGCAATATATGGGCATATGCATTCATCAGCCTGACATAATTACGCCATCACCATTGTAATCCTCTAAACAACCCAGGTACCCTAGAAAAGAAAGAAAAACATCATGAACAAGAGCACTTAGGTTTCCATTTCTTATATATCCTCAAAAGTAAGAGACAAAGGCTAAGATATTTTAGATCTACTGATCTACATACATGTATTGAATCTTTTAGCTAGAAAATGAAAAAAGAAAAACGAAGTT